AGAAGTATAGACCACTTTTTTCACTCATGGAGACTCTGGCTCAAGGTTTGGTCTTGAAGAAAAAAAAACAAATTCAGATGTTACTGCCAAGCTTTCGGCCTTTTAAGGTTAGGATTAGGTGCGTCGGCGGCCGCAACGGTTTAGGCCAGGGGTGCTCAAACGGTCGATCGCGATCGACCAGTCGATCGCGAGTGCTTTTTGAGTAGATCTCGAGAAGAAAAAAATTTTTAATAAGTAGGTAGGTAACTAAACTACAAAAATGTATTACGTAATAAAATAACACTGCTTGCGGCAAAAGGTGGCTTTATCAAAGGAACGCGCGGCACTTGTCAAAAAAAAGCCGCGTTGTTTCTAGACTAGTAGACAGTACAGTCTAGTCTAGAAACAACGAGAGACAGTACAGTCTAGTTTCGGGCGGCGCGTTTGAGCCTCTCAGAGTCGATCGTAAGTAGTCTAAAAATATTGAGGTAGATCGCCAGCAGTTCAAGTTTGAGCACCCCTGGTTTAGGCGTTGTCACGGCGCTCATCACTGTATCCAGCGGCCCTGCACTCGAACCCGACATACTTACAAATGGAATTTTTTTCACCGGCACCTCGAGAGTTGATATAACCTCTGCTGTTGCGAACCCTCGTAAAAGCCCAGAGTGCTCGTTAGTCATTCTTCCTGACAGAGTCAGCATCTTTCTGTCTCAGTGTTTCAATATTTTAAGGTTATTTAATGGGCAATGGCCTGGAAAAAGACCTATTATTTCCTTAAATTTCTTTCTCAGTGATAGATATATTATGGTTTTCCTGGTTTGGATGTTGAGGAACATCCTGCGCTGTTTTCACCTCGGTATCGTGTATTTATCTATTGTGTTGTCATTCGTATTTATTGGTTCAGAAGTGGGTTAAAATATGTTGAACTGATCGTTATTGAACTGAGTTGATCGACAAAAAAGATAGAAAACTCGCTTTGTCGAGAAAATACGATTTTATATTTTTTCCGTACAAAAAAGGAAATTTCTGACAACAAACAGATTTTCTCCGAAAACTACGCATTTTTCATCTACTGAAACTTTGCAGTCCACACATTTTCGCTTTGAAAGATATTTGAAGAATTTTAAACAAACACTATGCTTTGAGGAAACTTGCCAGAGATTGGCGAATTTCACAACCTACTGAATGGTGTGTTTAGTAGGGTAATCTTTTTTTTATGGAAAATGATAGATCACACCTACTAAAAAACCGTGCACCGTAGGAAAATAAGGGTTTAAAGTCAACTGGAATATTTAATTTGAATTGTGGACAGAAATGTTCTATTAAAAAGAAAGAAAAAATGAACCCTACAAGTTAAAATTAATAATAAAGATTAACTTAAAACTACTTAATGAAAAAAAAAGGTCAATGGTTTTAAAGATTGTTTATAGTATAGGATTGTTGAGGTTTAACTAAAACATTATTAGGTTTGACGTTTAATTTCTCAATTTTGTAATTCCCTTTATCCCTGGATCACACTTGGATGCATAAAATTTAATGGGTTTATGAGCGTGGACATCAGTGTTTAAAACTCATATTCGTAAAGAGATAACTTTTTATATATGCGTTAGTTATGGGCTCTGTAGTTATTTAATTTAACCATTCGGCTTTGTTTTTTTAACTTTTTTACGATTTTAAGTAATTATACTTTTAATCTAAGGTCTAGGACGAGATGAAAAATCATGTGTCACGAGCGGGATTCGAACCCGATACGCCGCTGCTTTAACACTGTCACAAATAGCACAAGAGGTTGAGATGGGAAGTCAGTGTCCGAGTGGATCGAGGTCACGATAGCTCAAGTGGTAGAGCAACTGCGTATCTAGCCGAAGGTCGTGGGTTCGAATCCCGCTCATGATACTTGCTTTTTCATTTCATCCTAGTTTTTAGATGAAAAGTAGAATTAATTAAAATAATTAATAGTGTCAAAACTGCTAAATGCATACATGGATTTATAACTATTGTGACCCATGGTATTATTTAGTTTAATGGTTAGGTTACGTTCACATTGAAAGCCGTAAAATAAATGTTCCTCCTCCCTCGCCACAGGCTAAAAAATAATTTACACCCTTGAAGTTCACAGGCGTTCCGAAACTTGGCTGAGTTACACCCGTGCTGAAAGGCCTCCGGGCTAAGCATTTCGCGGTGTGCCTTGAGGGATTTTCCTCAGCGAAGTTGCCGCCGGTAATGGATACAACTTTCTTGTTCTCCGCGATACGTGAACAACCCTCCGGCTCGTCGGGGAGGAGTAAATCATGGGTAGAAAAGTAAAACACTCGCCACTTTATTTTCCGAAGAATGGAAAAATTTATTCACCAACTTTTCTCCCCTGGCTTCATTTGCTTTCCTACATGACATTAACTAGCGGGAAAATCTCCTATACACGGATTTTTAACCCTAGAAGGTATCGTCAATCATTCGAGTCAATATTGATCTTTATTTTTACTGTAGGTACACAGATGAACATAGGAGAACATAAAAAGATTAACGTACAAAGAATGTATAAATGGCGACAACATAAAATCACCTAAAACACGTCCACACCTGAGTAACATAATACATACATACGATTTCAGATATGTGCAAAAACCTTTCTTTTTTATGTAACCTACAAAAAAAAATATTCTCGTATGTTCTCCTAAACTAGCTAAGCAGGTACGGTTTTTTGAGTTTCACGTTTCTCGCGATTAAAACAGGAAATCACATTGATATCATCAAATTTCACGTTATCATTCTAGGGTTTAGAAGACGTCACGGACATCGCAAGAAAAATTCAAAATAATACTAAACGAGTCAGGAACGTTTTGTAAAACGGCCCATTATATAAAACACGTTGAGCAATAACGCTTTGTGCCCTAATATAACCTGAGTTTATAGCTTAGAATGCGAACAGCATGAAAAATAAGAGCTTGAAAACCCTGTGCCTACTTTCACCTAATAAGATTTAGTACGTGCTCTTTGGATGTATGCTGTGCACCGTGCAGTACTTGTCAAAAGGAAGTAATCTTTATATAGAAAGTTCTGATAGAAAAAAAAAATGATTGATTCAATGTAAGATTCGGGTGTTCCGATGGGACAAAGAATCCTAAAATATGAAAGTCTATCCTTATACGTGTACGTTTACGTTTATTTTAAAGGGTCACCAGCTTACGTGAAATCTTCAAAACAGCCATCTGACAGTGATAATTTAAATGATAGAGATTGGATTATTGCTTAGTGTCGGACAATTTGGATTGTTTTCACAACCGAATAAACTTATAAAAGGCTTTGTTTGTTTAAACATAATTGTCTTCCGTTTTCAATAATACATGTTTCAATCTGCAGGAATAAAAAATCCATGGCCAATTTCTTCTCTATGCTAGGCTCACACTCATCTCTCTCTCTCTCTCCCCCCTCTCTCCCACCCCCTCTCACTCTCTCTATCTATCTATCTATCTATCTATCTATCTATCTCTCTTTCTCCCTCGCTCTCCCTCTCCCTCTCTATCTATCTACTTTGGTGCACATGTCTACATGCTTTGTTTTTTAATTTTTTTACTATTACTTTACTAATAAATTTCTTTAGGTTTTTACCATTTTTTTATCACGATGATAAACATTTGTTTGAAATATTTGGACATTTAGTGGTTTCTAGGTTTGAGATATTAGAGTATCAGGGTTTTCCTTTAACGTTTTCTCACTTTTGGGCTGTTAATATTACGTTCGTTAATTTTCTACTGATCAGCTTCATTGTCATATTTTTTACAAATAATTTACATTTTATTGTAGTTTGATCGTTTCTGATCTCTTTTGTCTACCTATCCTCGCTATAGGTCACTTGAAGGCGTATTTCGGCTTCTCGCCAAATTCAGTGGTGAGTCTTCTACTAAATCATTTTAACTGTGTGACACGTTGACTCTCTCTCTCTCTCTCTCTCTCTCTCTCTCTCTCTCTCTCTCTCTCTCTCCTCTCTCTTTCTCTTTCTCTTTCTCTTTCCCCCTTTCCCTCTCTCTCTTTCTCTTCTATTTTTTTCTCTCTCCTGTATTTCTGTATTTTCACTCTATCTCTCCACCTATTTCATTTTGATTGTTCTTTTCCTTCGTCTCACCCATTTTCTCTTGTTCAATTTTTCTATCTCTATCTGTCAACCTATGTACCTATCTTCTTTTTCAATCTCTTTTTTTTCATTCTCTTCTAGCGAGCGAGCTAGAGAGAGAGTGAGAATGAGTGAGACACCGATCGACCAACCGACAGAGAGAGAGAGAGAGAGAGAGAGAGAGAGGGTGGTCGAGAGAGAAGGAGAGGAGGTGTTTGGCAATAAACTACGCTATCAAAAGCAAAAAAAATCGAAAACAAGAATTATTTAAATTCTTAGCACTTTTAGCACATTTTAGCACAGAAAAAAAAGAAATTATATCAACTTTACACTAGACAGGTAAGGATGATTGTAAAAGATATTGTCAGGGATAAGGCCAAAAATATTATGAAAATAGACTAGAAATTATGTAATACTAACTAAATTTGCCTATCGGAGAAAGGCAAACTTTCTTTTGTTTTAAAACCCACGATATTAAATAAACATGATCACCATAATCTGACATTTGAAGTTGTTTAATGAAAGGTCAAACGCAATAAACTCTAGAGTTTCCTTTCTCTTAAAGATGAATTACCAATAATTAAAAGTTAAAATTTTTACTCATTTTTAAGATTACTATGTAGTCAGGTTACAATCGGCCTTTTCACAGACATCATAAAATATTCTATTATTACAGCCTTTATGTACTTAACCTAGGATAATAGCGACGAGTTAATATATAGGATAAAATTCATATTTGGTTATTAAAACGAGATTGATAAAGTAAGCTTTTAATACAATAATTTTAATAATTTATTATTAAAATTAACATTAATTGATAATATTGAATATTGTTTCATTCAATCAAATTCAAATTCATTTTACTGATCTTACATAATTATGTTAACTGTTTTTTTTTTGTTTTTTTCAGAGCGCACAAGAACTTTTCGAACTTCTTGAGAGGGTACAATCCAGCAGGCTGGATGACCAGAGATGTGTTTTGCCGGCATACTTTTCCCAGGTAAATCAACAAATTTTTTTATTGCTTGCAGTTAACCAAATGTTGTACCCTGCGATGCTGAAGAAAAAGCAGATTTCAATTCGACCACCTTCTTTTATACGAAAATATGGATAGTCAACAACAGCCGTTTAGAAAGCACAATTTTATAATGTTGGAATAATAAATAATGTATCAACGCCCATTTTATAGCGAGAAGCACGTCCAGATCGCAAATAAAAATGATTTTCGATTATAACGAGCTCGTCGCGCGGTATCGCCTGCAGTGTAAACAGGTCGCACGCTGTTTTCTTTCTAAGGGATTTTACATATGTAACAATTAAGCAAATCTAATGATTTTTCACAATTGCTTTCACAACGGATCATAAATAAAATTTAATGTTGAATAAGAGATTCATTCAGGCATCAGGACTTATACCATGGTTTTCAAAAAAATGTGCAAAATAACTCAAAGTCAAAATGGGATTTTCCAATTTTTTCCGTTTCTTTGGCGCGTAAAAATTCAATTGGGGGCATCGGTGGCCGCAACGGTTTAGGCGTTGACAAGTCATCACTGTAAGGTAAAGGTCCCGGGTTCGAATCCAACGGCCCTGCATTCGAACCCGACATTCTTACAAATGGCACCCTGAGGGTTGATATGACCACTGCTGTAGCGAACCCTCGTAAAAATAATAAAGCTTAACAAAGCTCAACTTTTAACCCCTTACATTAATTAATACAGTCATTCTTCATTTTTATAGTTTGATTTTTTCAGTCAAACTATTTAAAAAAAAAAAAACATCGTCACCCCCTCCGGGTTCATATAACCGCGTAGCTGACATACCCTCATAAAAAATAAATAAAATACAAAATATTCACTTCCGCCTGACGGTCTGAGTTACCGAACACAATCCATTAATCCATTACACTGCTCCAAAAAAGTGACGAACTTAATTTTTTGCACAATTTATGATTTTATTTTTTATTTGATGTAATTTTTTTGCAAACATTTTCTATTTAATGCGTTTATAATGTGTTATTATACACCATTTGATATACATCTTTAATTGTTTTGTTTACAATGAGGCATAATACGTTAAATCCTATATTGACTCTTTTGCACAAAGGTCAAAATCATGTTCATTATTTCCAAACAGATCTCAGAGGGGGAGGTCCGGGTAGCCCATGTGTAACATAGTCCAGGCTTAAGAAATACTCAGTGTTGTTTTGATTTCTTGACTGAAGGGTCATTAGTTTTATATTTTTGGTTTTAAAATGATCATTTCTGAGAAGCAAGTAGCTAGCGTACTCGCATTGATCGAAGAAGGTTTTAGTCAACGGTATGCTGCGCGTGTTATCGGACTGCCTGAACTAACTGTACGGATAGCATCCATCGGTATCGGGAGACTAGTTCCTGTCATAGGAGGCGTGGTCGGGGAGACAGAGAGCGACAGAACCTTGGGATAATCGATTTTTCCACATGTGGCACCCTTTATTGGTGCTAATTTCATTTTAATGCACGATGGCGCAAGACCAAATTGTGTTTTGCAATATCTTCAGGATGTCGGCATTTGCACATTATGTATGCTCGCGGCCCTGATCTCAACCACATACTTCTTCGGGGCGAACTCGGAAGAAGAGTTCGACAGCTAAGAAACCCTCCTTCAACATTGCCAGAATTAACAATTGCATTAATGGAAGCATGGGAGGAAATCTTGCAAGATGTTATTCTAAATTTCTTAAGAAGTTAACCACAGAGATTAGAGGTTGCAATTCGCGGGGGGTGATACTCTATATTAAAATTATTTTTAACGGCTCCAGGTGTTTTATAACAAGGATATTTTTCTTTATTATATTTAGTATGATTTTATGTACTAACCCCTACTCCACACTTATATAAATGGTATAATAGTATAATAAAAAATTTATCTTGAGGTAGAAAATTACCGCACAGCAAAAAAGTGAATATTTTAATGTTCGTCACTATGGACGAATGGAAAAAAATTTATGGAGCAGTATACTACGCTGTCAATTATTTATACACAAGGAGAAAAAAAACCGTATTGTTTTTTAAAAAAAACGTATTGAAATTTGAAAAAAAAAAATTGGCGGGAAAAAATTATCGCTTGTTGACATTTGGGAGCGATCTAACGGCTAGAAGGCGAACAAACAGACGTCACTCGGCCAAGCGGACCGGCCACTCTCTCACGATAGCTGGGGCAACTATCGTGTTGCGGCTAACCACCGCCAGGTAGAGACGTCATCAATGTATTTAAAATGAATGAATATAATATTATTATATCTATTCAATAATTACTTCAACAGTAATAAGTATCAATGAAAAATATATATGGGATTAGAACATAAAAAAAGTGAATTATAAAAGTTTACTATACCTGTGTGCTTAATTACCTTCTATTTATTAAGGACAGGATAGACGAAGATCAATGCTTAATACGGCTAATCCAAAGTTTTCCATTTAGGGAAACGCGATTATCTTGGTATTTTTCGATGTTGTTATGTCTCTTGTGCCTACAATCTTTAATCGTGACATTTTTTCAACAGACCACGTTTCTGTTAGTGTTTTCTTTCAAGGGCCGCGATAACGATCCTTTTCTTAGAAGATTTGTGACAGGAAATGAAAAGAGTTACGTACGAAAATACACTTCGCAGGTTGGGCCAAATGTATATCTGTCAAACTTTTCTAAAGGAGGATTTCACCCAGATAGAACCATTTTGGAGGGAAAATATCCACTGTTGAAAGCGTTTGCGCTTACACTGCTCCCACACACACACAAAGAAATCCCGGAAGAAATAAACATTTTCGCATCGAAAAACTTTTATGACAACTTAAAAATGAACTTAGTGAATGGGCATCATTGCTCAATTATAACACTAATAAATCTCAATTAAGTACAAAGTTGAATTTCTTTCTTTGAAATCCGATAGATTTTGCTATTCTTACTCGTATTATTTCAACAGAAAAGTCTTTAAAGTGGGTGGTGATATTTGGTCAGGGATGTTAAACTTATCGGCACTTGATCGCTCTACCGGGTCTGTCTACTCTCTCGCGGGTTTCGGCTTACGACATCCTCACCGAGGAACAGTTCCTGCAATCTAAACTAGCGAGACAGTAGACAGACCCGGTAGAGGGATCATGTGTCGATCTGCTTAAAAAATGCTTGCTTTCTGCTCTATCATTGTTAAAGAACATAACTGGTAATGTACAATCTGGTACTGAAGCATAGGTATCAAAATTGTACATTTATTGACCTTTTAAATTAAAAGGTACATTTCAATTAATACATTACATACAGGTTAATTAATTGAAACAAGTTATTTGGTCAGTCGGACCACGAAATATTATGGATTTAATAAGTAAAACGAAGTATACCTTCACTAAAGCTCTCCGTGGCCATTTCATTTGTCGCCGAGAATACAATCTTGATTACTCATTTGAAAAATGGCAAAAAAGAGGGAAAATTCGAAAGGTGCGGTTGAGATGGGAAGTTGGTGTCCGAGTGGATCGAAGTCACGATAGGTTAAGTGACATAGCAGCGGCGTTTTATTGGGTTGTCCGGAAAATAATGCAGGATTTTGGTATTAAACAAAAAAAAAGAAACTAGTTACTTTAAAGCAATGTTCTTTAATCAAAACGTGTTGGTAACTTATTAATTCCGTCTGAGTAGAATTCAGAATTTTTAGAATTGATAAAGTCAATAAATGCATTTTCCAGTTCCGTTTGATTTTTGAATATTATGTGTTGTAAGTAGTGGTCCAGGTGTCTAAAAAAATGGTAGTCAGTAGGCGAGAGGTCCGGAGAGTAGGGTGGGTGAGGCAAAGTTTCATAGCCAAGCTCCAATAATTTTTGTGACGTTACACGTGACACATGTGGTCGAGCGTTGTCATGCAACAAAATGGGCCCTTTCCGATTGACCAAAGAGGGCTTCATTACTGCCAATTTCTGATGCATGGTATTAATTTGGTTACAGTATGATTCAGCATTGATGGTTTCGCCAGGATTTAAGAAGCTGTAGTGTATTAAACCAAATGAAGCCCACCATACCGTAACCATTACCTTTTTTTGATGAGTTGGGGGCTTTGGAAAATGTATTGGAGCTTCTCCTTTGTCGAGCCACTGTCCAGAACGTCTAGTGTTATCGTAGAGAATCCACTTTTCGTCACATGTAACAATTCTGGCCAGAAATGGGTCATTTTTGTTTCGACAAAGAAGTGATGCACAAACATCAAAGCGCTGATTTTTTTGGCGATCGTTTAATGAGTGTGGAACCCAATTTTCGAGTTTTTTCACTTTTCCAATCGCCTTGAGGTGGTCAGCGACGGTCGTTTTACTGACTTTGAGTTGCTCTGCAAGTTCTCGAACAGTTGTTTTGGGGTTTTCTTCCACCACTGATCGCAGAACATCATCATTAAGAGAGGAAGGCCTTCCACGACCTTCTTCATCTTCAAGGCTGAAATCTCCCTCCCGAAATTTTTTAAACCACCTTTGCACAGTGCACTCATTAACACAACCCTCGCCCCAGACTTGGTTAATGTTTCTAGCCGTTTGGGCTCCGCTTCGGCCGAGTTTAAACTCGTAAAAGAAAATCGTACGAAATTCTCGCTTTGACATTATAAGGATGACTGAATTATTTCCAAGTAGCGGAATGCTACAGAGGTAAACAAACAATATCATTTGGAAGAGGATTAATAAGTGTTGACATTCATACAAATGAGTAATCCTGTAAACGTAAACAGAATATTTTATATAGATTTTTTTTAATGAAAACTTAAAATCCTGCATTATTTTCCGGACAACCCAATAATTTAAAAGTCTTGCACTATTTGTATAAAATTTGTTAGTGCCTACAAAAGCTTACTTATAAAGAATGTTTATGGACCATTAATACTTTATGTACAATCAATAGTTCAATGACTTTTCTTTTCATCGATCTGTAATAGACGAGGTGGTAACAAAACCTACAAATCCTCATTTTCACTTATTTCACAGGTTGTCATCAGGT